GGTTAATAGGCTATTTTTTTAAGAAATGCCACCTGGTAAAAAAGTTTAATTTATTTAATATGCGGGAACGACTGAATGTATTTACATAAAATTTTGCAAGCAGATAGCTTATGACCTACAGTAGGATTAGACTAATTTTTTGCTAAATTTTTTTTTTAAGCTAGTATATATATATATATATATATATATATATGTATGTATGTACAATTAACGTTAAAATTACTTCTAACGTAAAAGTAAGTTCTGCAATGACATAAAAATCAAATATTTTAAGTTGTTTTAATTTAAGGAAAAAACTATATATATACGATGAAAAAATAAAATAATTTTAGTATCCCATAAAACGTATTTTAATTAGTCCGATTCTGAGTAGTATCGATACTTTTTCCTTGATACTTTTTGAGTATCGATACCATGAACTCGATGCCAGAATGAATACTCAGTATCGATATCAAAGTCTGAATTCGTAAGAGAAGTCGAGAGGTATACCATGAACCAATTAGAATAGATGTGACCAGTTGAAAAGCAGCCATTTGCAATATTATTTGAGAAAAAAGTGTGTGACGTACGTAATTTTGAAGTTTTCCATTTCTGTATTGTTTCTTAACCGACTTCCAAAAAAGGAGGAGGTTATCAGTTCGTCGGAAATTTTTTTTATGTATGTTACCGCATAACTTTGGACCACGTGACTCAGAGGTGGTACCATACTAATGGTTTATATCCGATCATTGGATCATGAAATATATATATATATTTTTTTTTAAGTCGGTTTTTTTGCTAAAAATTACTCGTTTTTACATCTTTTTCTTTATGTATATTTTGGTGGTGGTTCATTTTAGTAATTTTTTAGTAATGGAGGTAATACCTACATCTTCAATTAAACTACTTCTGATATCAACGCTGAGTTAAACTGGCTACACACGACGAACATCTGCGCGCACATATGCGCCAACATGCTCGCTGTCGTTTGCTACAGACGGCGAGCGGCTCATAAGTGATTTTGTACTCAAAGCGTAAACATGGAAAGGAAAAACGCGGATGATGCAATTGCAATGCTTTTAACTTAACTTTTTTATGTATGTGTTACTAAAATTTATTTATACTTTACTTGTATGTACGTACATACATATACTTATAGTAATTTAGCCTCATTTATCAAAAATTCAATTAAATAACATGGCTTGGATGCATTTATCCGCCGATGCGCACACTTCAAGCATCAACACAAAATGAGGTTGTTGTTTTTGTTTCCAATGCGATGCTCGCAAACCGCCCTACAAACGACGAACGTGACCCGCAAGCCGCGCATGTGCGCGGATATGTTCGTCGTGTATGCCACTGTTAGAGAGTTTAGAAGAGATAGGCGGTTTTGCAATTGGACAATGGGCGGTTTTGCAAAAACATCGACGGTATTAACCGACTTCCAAAAAAGGAGGAGATTATCAGTTCGTCGGAATATTATTATTTTTTTATTTTTTTTATTTACTTTTTTTATGTATGTTACCGCATAACTTTGAACCACGTCAACCGATTTCGATAATTTGCATCGGAAAGGTAGTGTCTCAGAGGTGGTCCCATACGGATAGAAGTTTTGCGCAAAAATACTGCTAATGGCCTAACACGAGTTTAATTTTTCTGTGCGAAAATGCTAATTTTACCCAATTTTGAAATGGGCCCCCAGTGCCGGTAGAAAGGGGCAGGGACACGAAGGATAACTTTTCTTAAAGTTTATACTGTGCTCTTTCTAACAGGGGTCTACCCTTAAACTCGTAAAAGCCTAGTAAACCTCGCAAAGCTCATAAATTTACGAGCCTCGTAAAAGAATTGTCAAAATTTGTATGGAGCTCTATTTATGAGCCCCTCGTAAATTTACGAGGCAAATTTGATGCGCGAACGACCTCGTAAACTTCAGTGTTGCTGAGAGGCCGAAATTTTCATACTAAAATGTATGATAAAATAATGAAAATAAATTGACTTAGGTTTTCTGCTTTTAGTTGTTAATTGTATTTTATCCAAGATACAAGATGGTGTTATGTTATGGGAAATACTACGAAACAAAAATTCGTTCTCAAAATCCTGGTTGGTCATAGCATAGAAGGTTACGACATGGTGCTGTCAAAAATTTGTTTTCCTCCAATGACGTATTTGCGAAGTGAGTTCTGATTGGCTGAAATATTTTACGAAGAAGGAGAGTACACAAAACGCAGAAAATATAGCTGCCGTATAGCAAATTTTAGGAATCCTAATTAAATGGGCATTTTTGATATAAAATCGTGGCAAAGCTTATTATAACAACATCAAATGTTATAACTTCTCCTGAAACCGGATTAACATAATAATTGTGACAATTGAAATGTAAATCGAATGCAAATTGAAATTTACTGGTGATTTTATTCTTCATAACATTGGCAAAATTTCGCTACCAAAATTGTAATTCATCTTTAGACATACGGTAAACCTAAATTACCATTTTCAGTGTAATTTTTGCAATCAAAAACAGCGCACTTAAATTTTTAATAATTGAAATAAACTCAAAGACGCAGAAAAAGCACAAACTTCAATGCAGATTGTCAAAAGGTAAATATCAGGGTTACACATATTTGAAATAAAACTTGATGTTTTTTTGACTAAAGTAGTGTATTTTTATGAGATATTTTTTTAGGAATCTGGCAACTCTTAAAATTGAGCCATATACGTCATCAGCCATGGCTGATGTAACCTTGTATTCTATGAACCTTGTGACCTCCGTGTCATCTATTGCTTTTTCTCTTTTTATCCTCAGCATTGGTAATTATACACGCAAAATTGTAAACGTTTAATTCGTTTGGGGTAAAAATGGATAAAAATTACAATTGAAATAAATGCATTCAAGCGTATCAAATTGTGATTTTGTTTATTTTATTTTCTGTCTTTATTTGAAAGTTTTTTTTTTATCGATAGCAATATGAATTGCATGTATACAAAAAAATAATTGTTGTAGGCATATTTGGAGGATTTTTATTAAAAATAAGTGAAAAATTTATATGATACTCTCACGGCTATCTTTGCGCTTTGAAACATTACTTAGAAATAAAAAATCTATAGTTCCAATTTTCGAAGTGAAGTTGCCATATATACAAGCCTTTAACTTGGCCAGAATAGCTGAACATACTTGGCAAAAAAATTATTTTTAAATATGTAATAAAATAATAAGATTAATATAATATCTATCATATTTGCGAAATAAAATTTGTATAATAAAATTTTTAATTTTTTTAATTTGGAAAAAATCTCCTGACTTCAAAAATGGATTAGCCCGCTTCAAACTTATACCAATTCTTCCTCAACGTAAATAACGGAATCTACGTTCTTTGGTAATAACTCATATTGGTAAGAATTTGTTGTAAAATTTTGAAGAAAAAACGGTGGCTTTTTCGAGTAAATCAACTCTCTTTCTTTTTAGAAAATTGGCAGCCATTTTGTTAATTTTAAAGATTTTTGCAAATTTCAAACGAATTTTCAATGAAGGCTAAGCCAACTATAAGAATCAGGAAAATAAAATTATTTATCTTAATTAGCAAAAAATGGCGGGCAAAACAAATATTTTTATCGCTTTCTTTTATTTTTATCATTCAAAATTGATATTCGCATATCTTAATTAAAAATCGTTTTTTTTTCAAAACAAGAAAAAATACGTATCCTCCATTTTCCTTTTAGAATAACATATTTCATCGGCAATCAAATCTGCAATGTGAAGTTGTCAGCCTGCCTGATTTGAGAAGAATTTGGCCTGATTTAATTTTTATTTAAGTAAAGAGCATAGGTCACTTAACTCAAAATTAAAAAACAAATTCAGCCTTATCGTGAGTTTCGCCTAAAAAAACATTCACCCGCAAATTTGCAGCAGATTTCTTGGCGTTCATTGTGGCATAGTTTTTGCATCTGGCGCTTTGCTGGTAAAGTTACAAATGTCACGCAAAGTCACAAAAGTTTTATCTGGCATCAGGTACGACAATACGTAATTGAATTAAAAAACTCGATTACTTTAATCGAATGATTAATCGCTGCCATCCCTAGTACTGACATTTCATCACAGCTGACAGCGGTTGCGGCAATAGTCTTTCACTGCAATTAAAGGGGGAAATTTTCAAATTTTATTTGATTTTATTTTGACTGCAGGTTGTTTTGGAAATAATTATGTCGAAACACGATCCGTATGGAACACCGGCCAAACCAGATAGCAATTGCCGCACGTGCACAGATTTTAAGTATTGGTCAAAACAGCAACGGCAAATATTTCACAAGGCGGTAAGTGCTTGTACTTTCCAAAAGGTTGGATTAACCACAAGGCAGCATGAGAGTCGCGTAGGCAAGGTTTCATAATTGCGCGCCCATTAATATTTATTAAAACTTTCTAGGATACGTCAAAGGAAACCAAAACAGAAGCGAGTGAAGCCTCGCCAAATGGTTGCCCATTGGATAAAGTGGCGTTAGGTCGCGCAACATGGGGTCTACTACACACAATGGCGGCATTTTATCAAGATAAT